TAGTTTATTCTATGGACTACAAAAGGTGAAAACAATAGAGTGGAAAAGCAGTAAAAACAAAAAAAATTACTGTTGCATAGGGTTTTTTTTCTTGGTGTATATTTATTTGTTTCTTAATGACCTTATTGAATATTAGTTTTCGTGATTTAAACTTTGTTTACCTTTTTCTTTTTTTTTTTTTCTTTCTTTTTTTTGCTGTTTGTGCTTTTTGGCTTAGTTTATTCTGTACGATGTTGACTTGTCTCTAAGTGATGACGGCCACTGCTGTTTCGTTGTGGCAGTGTTGTTGTGGTTGTTGAACAGAGTCTGTTGTTGCTGCTGCTGCTGCTTCTGCTGCTGCTGCTATTGTTGTTGTTGTTGTTGCTGCATCTATCAACGGACACAGTTTCTGGCCCTGGTTGTCTTCTTGTACAGGGTTTCGCACAATGTTATCATTGTTGGTTACCGAAGAAACAGTTTTATTAGAATCCTGATTATTCTAGGATGGCGCCAAGAGAGGATCGATGCTTGTACAGTATACTTGGTGTTCCTCGAACAGCCGACGAAATTGCTATCAAAAAAGCGTTAGTATCTTTACATTATATATTTTTCTTATAATTATTTCACAAAAAATTCAAAAAAAATGTTTATTTATTTTTGCGTATAAGGTTTATTTAATGATAGTGATAAAAGTGTGAAAAAGTGAAAACAACAAATAGTTTTGGGAATAGTTTCAGTGGGCTTCTAAAATTTTCTGTTTTTCTAAGCTGTGTTTATTGTTGTCAATTTTTTGGTATAGAATAATTTTGTTTTTAATTTACTTTAGTACTGATAACATATCAAAAATATTAACCAATTATTTTACATCAAATTGTTTTTTTTATTGCTGGCATAATAATTGACCAAAGTTGTGGTCATCTTAATTGTTCTGGTCTATGGGTCGGTAAAATCAAACGGCAAACTGAGATATAACTAGTATCAAAGCAAAAAAAAAAAAGGGAGGGGGGTTTTTATTTTTGATTTACGACATTCAGCTATGGTAATTAAAAAAAAAATTTTTATTATGGGTTTCAATAATTTGTCAAAAAAATTAATGGATAAACTGTTTAGTTTGTGGACAACAATTATAACTATAATTAGTGTGTTATTTGAGGAGAAAAAGAAAAGGCCTATTGCATATGTAATTTATTTTTAAAATAACATACATTTTTTTTTTTTTTTTTGCTACAGATATCGAAAACTTGCATTACAATGGCATCCAGACAAAAATCCTGGCAATAAGGAAAATGCCGAGAAGAAATTTAAGCAAATTGCTCAAGCATATGAAGTTTTATCTGATCGTAAGTTTCTTACACACATACTGTTTTACGCAAATTTTTTTTAATTTATATTTTTCAACTTTAAAGTTTCTCAATCATCTTTTTCTTTGCCATTTTTATCTTCGATCTTATTTTTGTATTTTTTCTACTCTGACAAGGTAAAAAAAGAAATGTTGGTTTTACCTCCGCTTTTTTTTTTTCTCCTGTATCTAATGCTTTGAAAGTTTTTTCCACTTTTTTTATGCTTCAATATTAGAAGTATATACGGATCACCCGGGCAAGGATTTGATGGAACTAGTTTTTAGTTGAAGGACAATGAAAAGGAAGGTAATAGAGGTAGGATGGTGATGGTGATGGTGGTGGTGGTGGTGGTGATGATGGTGGAATAAGGGACAAAGAGCTGGTTTTAAATTGATTAAAATGGAGAAAATTTTTTGTTTAATGAATGGGCAATAATGGGCAGCAACAATCAAAAAAAACATCAAAACAATTATTACTGTGTTGTAATTTGTTACACTTTTGGATTTTCTATAAACAAATATTAGCTGACCAATTATGCAAACAATTTTGACATCTGATATATCAAATTAAAGCAACAGCTACTAAACAAATTCTGCTGGTTACTGCTGCTGTTGCTGCTGTTGTTGGTGTTGTCGTTGTTTTCAAATTGCTCTTACTGCTATTAAAAAAAAAAAAAAAAA